AGTACTGGTTTAGTCCTGGTTTAGACCTGGTGTAGTTCTGGTTTAGTCCTGGTTCAGTCCTGATTTAGTCCTGGTTTCCGAGATATCACCATTTCATTTTTCACTTTTTTACATGGTCGCCGAATTTCAAACGGCATTTACATAGTAACTCCTGGTCAAAAACCAAGGAATCTCTGGAAAGGAGACATCATAAGGAATCCATACATTATCTATCATATATCAAATATTATTTGTCATATAAGAGTTTGACTTTGTGAAATACAAAGAGACGAGAACACGTCACACCTGTGTGTTTAACCTGCACTGACTCTGTCTTTATCAAGTGTTATTTAAAATGTTAATGATTGACACACACACACACAAACACACACACAAACACACACACACACACACATTATACTTTATTAGACTCTTGTTCGTCTCAGGGCCAAAGTCCAAAGTCACAAAATCATAGATGATAAAAGTTGAACATTTGCTGGTGTTAAAGACTCGTTCCCTCTGCCTCTTTCAGCTGTTTCAAACAAGGTTTGTCTTGATTCTTTCTAAAGTGCATTTGTATTGTTTGTGTTTGTTATAAAAGCAGTATTTTCCTTCAGGTTTGCACTAACTGATGTGTAAAAGTCTTTGTCTCCTGCTCTAGTTTATTGTCTGAGTCTTAATGAAGAAACCAAGAGCTCCTTTTAGTCGTTCAAACATCATTCTGTTTATTTCATCATGTCAACACTTCATTGTGACGTTGTGTGTTGTTCAGTGTTGGGGAAGTGACTTTGAAAAACTCTTGAGTTACTCATTACTAGTTACTTGTTCAAAATGTAATCTATTACACTACTTAGTTAGTGGCTCAGTAAAGTCACTTAGTTCCATGAGTTTGGGATGAGTTGTTTGCAGTTTTGTCTAAATGAATCAAATGTGAGCTTTTGTGTTTGATTCAAGACGTTTCAGTGGAGAGAAACACAGGAGTTGTTGAAACGTCTCAAATGACGTCACAGAGACTTTACTGGGTGATTTCAGCTCCAAGCTGCTTCTCTGCCTCTGAGGAGGGACCGGCCTCATTTCAGCACCAGGATTTTCACACTGGTGCGTTACACTACTGAGGTACTTGTAATCCAATGACAGTAACTAAGTAGAAGTGAGTAAGTTGGAGCCAACACTGTGTGCTGTAGAACGTCAGTCCATTTGCACTGTTCAACACTTTGATCACTTTCTGTAACCATGGAAACCATTCAAACTAATAACACAGAAAACAAGAAATCAGAGGCAACAAGTCAAATAGAAAGCAAAGAAAAGAGTGAAACAAAGTGAGGAAATAGTCCACACACAGATGTATGTTTGTCTTGTGCAGTGTGAGGCGTTGGTCTGGTGATGTGCTGCTCCAGTCCAAAGGTGTGGCTCTTATTCCTGTGTCTTATTTCCTCAAACTGTGGAGAGACTGAAAAATACTTTCAAATACAATCAACTTCTTTTCACATTTGGGACGTTTGGTAGCAGCTTTTGTTCTACAACATTTACCGTTCAACTGTCAGTGTTAGAGCTGGTCTCCTCTGGTTGTGTCTCGTGTGGTTCTTTCTGATTTGTCTTTATTTGATGTTCTCGTTTATCGGTGTTGGTCAAGTGTAGGACTTTATAAATGAGACAAACCTTTTCAGGACAACCGTGTTCTAAAGTCCAAAATCCTGAGCATGAGCTGTTTCAGAATGTGACACTGTGGAGGAAATGGGTTTTTCTTTTATAGAGGGTTTAATGGTTTTAAGTGTCGTGGGCCAAGAGACCAAGAAGTTAAACGATCTTCTGTGTGAGAAATAATCATGGAGCAGAAATAAGTTTTAGCAGCTTTCATGTTTAAGTTGTTCCTGATGTGATGAAAATTCCGATAATCGAATTGGACCTGGGACACTTTTTGAACATGTTTTTTGAAGGACAATATTGACAACATTAAAGGTACTTGTACCACAGTTTGAGAACCAGTCCAGTGTTCCAGTCCACCTCTGAGTCCCCAGCCTTGACTTCTTCCTCGGAAGACGTGACGGTGGGATTGAGGAGATCCTCAAAGTTTTCCTTCCACCACCGGACAACGTCCCCAGTAGAAGTCAACAGTTCTCCCCCCGCACTGTAAACAGTGTTGGTGAAGAACTGCTTCCCCCTCCTGAGGCGCCGGAAGGTTTGCCAGAATCTCTTTGAGGCCGTTTGATAGTCCTTCTCCATGTCCTCCCCGAACTCCTCCCAGCTCCGAGTTTTTGCCTCCGCGACCGCACCCGACCCCTATGAAACCCTAATGGGGGTGGTGAGCCCACAGGAGAACCCACATCATCCCTTTGAGCTGAGGACACAGTCCTTGATATTCCTCTGTTCATAGGCCTCGTGAACTGCTTTTAGTCTGACCCGTCTCCTGGGACATGGGAAACCCTACCAGGGGAATAAAGCCCCCGGAAACACAGCTCCTACCATTATCTGGGTACACAAACTGCCCCACCACAGTAAGGGGGAGTACTTTACATGTTGTTCTTTGTAAAGTGATATTTTACATGTTGTTCTTTGTAAAGTGATATTTTACATGTTGTTCTTTGTAAACACAGTGTTTAACTCTTCGGTGTTAAAGTTGCTCTATTAACTCATCAGAGTTTTGCATTTGGGCTTCAGTCTGATTCAAACAGACAAAAGTTCGATTCCCCTGAAAGTCTGGACTTTATTTCAGGTGCGAATAAAGACAAACAAACTCTGATCCGGACCAAACCAGTCCGTTTCCAAACGGGGCTGACATAATAATGTAAGTGTGTGTTGAGGAGAGAAACATTTGTGACATGTTTAAACATTGGTGTTGTTTGGGATGAATGTTTTGTGTGTTTTTCCTTTTGAAGCAAATGAACAGAGCATGGATCAGAGAGAGCACAGAGAGGACGGAGCCCCTCCCTCTAAAACCACTCACCCCCCCAAAGCTCAGAGGTAAGGGACCATCTCTAACGCTCCACCACTGTTCTCCATGTCAGAGCTCAGACTAAAGCCACTGCTCCATCTGTGTCCACAGACCTGCTCCTGGGACCAGCGCCCACTCATTCAACAGTGATCGCTCTAATGATGGAGGGATTGATTTGAAAAGAGAACATGGTCCACAGTAAGTCACACTCACAACACCTTATAACGTCACCACTTTATGTCAACAAACATTTGGATATAATGTGGGTGACGTGGTTTGAATGAAATAAAAACATGTCCAGGAGTGGTCCACAGTTCACAGAGAATCACATTCAAATCAGAATGATACACACAAGTCTGTTCTTTGTTCCATCATTCAAACTTTACAAATATCTAAACTGGATGTGTTTGTTGTTGAATGTGCCGTACTGAAGCGTCTGTGGTGAAGGCCTCATGAACACTTTGTAGAACCTCCTGAAGTATCTGACCTGAGTCACAACAGTCCCATGTGTTTTACTGTGACTGAAGTGTGTTTTCTTCTGTGTCTCAGGATCCAGCAGAAACATCCTCCGTCTGAACCTGGTCCCAGCTGTGAGTCCCTCAGGAGTGACATGTCTAAGGATGAAGGAATGACCTTCAGGAGAGAGCTGTGAGTGTCCTCTGTGTATTATGCAGTGTTGGGAATAACGGCGCTACTAACGACGATACATTTTTGGTAGTGGAGTAATCTAATTAATTCCACTCCCCATCGTTACGATGCCATCGTTTGTGGGAAAGCAAAGTATCACAGTTGGGTTGAATGAGGTGGCACGGTGTCAGGCTTCATGCAGCGGACAGACACACATCATCAGCAGGAACGAGGAGAGCGAGGGACAGAGCAGGGATAACATGATTGGATAAGAATTTGGATGGGCGGAGTCTCTTGTTGTTTCTTTCCGCAAAATTCAGCTACATGTGCCCTGGGAAAAATAATCTAATGAAGCACCTCACATGGTCACTAACACACACCTGTAACACACCTGTCACACACACCTGCAACACATCTGTAACACACACCTATAACACACATCTGCAACACACCTGTAACACACACCTGTCACACACACCTGTAACAAACCTGTCACACACACCTGTAACACACCTATAACACACACAAGTCTGTTCTTTGTTCCATCATTCAAACTTTAAAAATATCTAAACTGGATGTGTTTGTTGTTGAATGAGCCGTACTGAAGCGTCTGTGGTGAAGGCCTCATGAATCCACATAGCAAAAATATCCACAAAACAGATCCGCAACAGAGTTCACTTGCACATTGCTGCGGATCTGCAAATGATCCTCCGCGCGGATACGCAGCGGTGGATGGAACCGCGCCTCTGCCGCGGTTCCGTCAAAATAAGCCTGGATCTGCGGCGGAGGCGCAGCTCATCCGCTGCGTATCTCACGGATCTGCCTGGGACCTGTTTTGGTTCCGCTTTCAGAACCGGGTTATCTGCTGCGGATCTGCCACAGATCTGTTTATTGTGTCATGAGGAGCCTAAATATACTTCAGATTTAATACTGATCCACTTCCTACTGACCTAAATACACACAAGCAGCATCTGCATTGTAATTGTACATAAAACTTTTACAGGAAGTATTAAAACTAGGATATAAAGTCTTAAATTTAAAAACATAAACTTAAACTATTTCAAAGTTGGAGCAGTGATATCATTAGTTAAAAAACTGTGTACCACCACAGAACAATTAGACGGATGGTTGTTCTTATAGAGTGTGCAGTGTGGGAGCTTCAGAGCCTCTGTCTTTAGCTTCAGTCTGAGGCAGAGGTTTTGAGGCAGAGGTTTTGAGGCAGAGGTTTTGAGGCAGAGGTTTTGAGGCAGAGGTTTTGGCAGAGGTTTTGAGGCAGAGGTGCAGTGAGTCTGGCTCCTCTTCAGTCCTACTGGTGAAGATCCAGTCTGTCAGTGTCCAGCTCTGGACTTCCCCTTTCTCACAGCATCTGAAATGACACCAGTGTGTATTAAACACCCCATTACACCTCTTATTCTTGTAAGGAGTTAGAGTTCAGGTTTGTGAAGAACATTGTAAGTCATGACAGTGGCTGTGTGATGTGAACATGAAAGGTAAACACTTGATTGGAGAGATGCACTTACAGAGGGTCAGTCTTTAAACCACCACAGCAGGTTTTGAAAGAAACAATCTGCACAACAACAGGTGTGATTATAATGTGCATATGTTTAGTTATGAAAGTTAATAAAAGTAGGATAATACAGTAAACTTACAGAGGGTCTGTCTCTACATTTTTGGAACTTGGCCCAGCAGAGGGAATTCTGTAAAACATCAAATAAGAGAAACACAAATATCAGTTTGGATCATTTCAGGCCACAGTGTTTAATCCAAGTGCAGTATTTACCTCCAGAGGGTCTTTATCATGCTTGTAATGAGGATTGTATAATATGAGAAAACTGGAGTGCTGGCTAGCAATCACTACAGGGTGTCGGGTCAGGACAGCAATTATAGACGTTCTGGTGAGTTAAAATGAGGGAGTCCACATCCAGGTAATGTTGAACGTTTCTTTAATGTCTGCGTGCTGAAACACGTGTGTGTGTGTGGTTCTCTACAGGAGAAAGAACAAACAAATACAAACAATATATCAGTAATAGATCAAAATGGTGGTTGATTGTGATTATTTACACAATACTGCAAACTACAAAGTGGCCGATAGGGGGCCAATATGTTCGGTGCAGTTTAGATGTAAACAGATCCAAATCAAATTACCCAGGTTTAATACAAAGGAAACTGCATATATATATATATAACAGATGGTTACTGGGGTTTGTGAAGTAAAGGAAAAAACGGTATTCTAACGTACACACAATGCGCAATTACACAGACACGAGGCTAGCTAGCAATACAAAACGAAAGTCACGCACAAAGATTTCTAAACTGCACAAAACACAGTCAAACAACAGCTACAAACTTTGAACATAATACCACTCATAATCACACCAGAATACTCACGTCTAAAGGACGCACACTATCATTCAGACATTAAAGTGTCCGAAACACAGCCGATGCACTGACCGTCACGCCGCTATACTGACTCAAGAGTTCGTGACTCACTCGGTGTGCAGGCGCACCCCTCTTGTGGTGAGAAAGAGTATAACAACAAACAACAACTAATATATAACAAGACTAAATGTCTTTTATACAGCCGCCCCCAAATTTGCTATGCAAATTTGACCACTAAGTAACTGTACTGTCCTGGGGTAAAGCTGGCAGCCTGATGAGACGAACAACTGGGCGAGTGTAGGTCCGGTCCTTTACTTGAACAACAGCCGTCCTCACTCGGCCGTCTGCTCCAGGAATCACAGCTTTTACTGTCCCCACCTGCCAGAGAGCTCTGGGAATCTGCTGGTCCACAATGAGCACGACTGTGCCCACAGTAATGTCGTCTTTCTCTGTCTGCCACTTCTGCCGTGATTGTAATGTGGGCAGGAAGTGCCGAATGAAGTTCTTCCAGAAGTGATCCGCTAAAACTTGTGAATGACGCCACCTTTTACGGGTTTAACAGCGCTGACTCAGGATAAACCACCTGAGGAAGGGATGAGTCCGGCCGCCCCATCAGCAAACAGTTAGGTGTGACAGGATCGGGGTCAGCGAGGTCAGAGGACACGTAACCCAGGGGCCGAGAGTTGAGAATTCCCTCTACCTCAATGAGGACTGTCCTCAGCACCTCATCTGGCACTGACTGATCTCCTAGAGTGGTGCGGAGAGCGCTCTTCACAGATCTCACCTCGCGCTCCCATGAACCACCAAAATGTGGCGCGTTGGGTGGATTAAACCGGAAGCGAATTTGTTGTGCTGCTAGTTGTTCCTTTAAAGTAGGTTCCAGAGCGAGAAAGGCTTCATGCAGCTCCTTGCTTCCTCCTTTGAAATTAGTGCCCTGGTCAGAGAGGAGCTCATGGGGTTTCCCTCTGCGAGCGATGAAGCGTCTGAGTGACATCAGAAATGAGTCTGTGTCCATGTTGGGCAAGAGGTCCAGGTGAATGGCTCGTGTAGTGAGGCACTTGTACAAAATGCCCCACCTCTTCTCAGTGCGTCGGCCTATTTTCACAAGCATAGGTCCGAAACAGTCGACACCTGTAGAATAAAAGGCCGGTTTGAAGAGCCTCAGACTGGAGGGTGGTAGGTCAGCCATTTTGGGCACTTGAGGGGTGCCTCTCCACTTCCTGCAGTCCACACAGGTATGTTGGTGTTTCTTAACTGCTTCTCGGCCCCTCAGTATCCAGTACTTCCGGCGCAGCTCTGCAAACACACGCTCAGCTCCAGGGTGGTGCAGCTGGCTATCGTAGCGCTGAATCAGGAGCTTGGAGATTGGGTGAGAGGCTGACAGGAGTATGGGGTGCAGCATGTCTGGGTTCAGAGTGTCACATCTTCTAAGTCTGCCACCAACACGGACCAGGCTGGAAGATCTGTCATATTCAGGAGACAATGTTAGTAATCTGCTAGTGGAAGAGAGGGGCTTACCAGCTCTGAGCAGGGCCACTTCTTCTGGGAAGCTCTCTGTCTGGGCATGTCTCAGGAGAGCTAACTCTGCCTCATGGTAGTCGTCAGCAGTGAGAGGCGTTTTATCAGCCGCCCCGTGTAGCCCTTGTGCTGTGGCATCTAACAGCTC